GACATCAATGTGCTTAGTGCGAGAATGATGCACTGGATTTTGTGAGATGGCTATAGCACTTTGATTGTCACAAAAGATTGTCACTTCCTTTGTCTTGACTCCATAGTCCAGTAGTTGTTGCTTCAGCCACAGAATTTGAGCACAACAACTACCAGCAGCAATGTACTCTGCTTCTGCTGTTGATGTAGAAATGGAGTTTTGTTTCTTACTGAACCAAGAAACAAGATTTCCACCAATGAATTGACAAGTACCAGATGTACTTTTCCGGTCAACTTTGCATCCGGCAAAGTCAGAATCTGAGTATCCCACTAACTCAAATGAATTGCTCTTAGCATACCATAAACTCATGTTCTGAGTTCCTTTGAGGTATCTAAGAATTCTTTTAGCTGCTATCAAATGACTTTCCTTTGGCTTTGACTGGAATCTGGCACAAACACCTACTGCATATAAGATATCCGGTCGGCTTGCAATAAGGTAGAGTAGAGATCCAACAATTCCTCTGTAGAGAGTTTGATCTACATCCTTTCCATCTACATCCATATCAAGCTTGGTGGATGTACTCATGGGCACATAAATGGATGACTTCTGGTCAACTTTGAATTTCTTGATAAGATCCCTTGTGTACTTGGCTTGGTTGATGAGAGTCCCTTCACTTCTCTGTTTGATTTGAAGGCCAAGGAAGTAGTTGAGTTCCCCCATCATGCTCATCTCAAATTTTCCTTGCATGAGGGTTGAGAACATGGTGCAGAGATCTTCCTTAGTTGAGCCAAATATGATGTCGTCCACAGCCTTATAGCTTCAAGTCTAGCAACTGGAGCGAAGGTTTCATCAAAATCTATACCTTCTTCTTGACAATATCCTTTGGCAACCAACCGAGGTTTGTTTCTGATAACAACGCCGTTTTCATCCATCTTGTTCCGGAAGACCCACTTTGTTCCAATGACATGTTGATGAGTAGGTCTGGGAACAAGTTTCTAGACGTCATTTCTGGAAAATTGGTTAAGTTCTTCTTGCATTGCATTGATCCAATCAGAATCAGCTAGAGCTTCTTCAATATTCTTTGGTTCCACTTGTGAGAAGAAACAAGCAAGCATAGCTTCTAGATTCTGCTGAGCACTTCTTGTGCGAACGCCAGATTGAATATCTCCAATGACTTGTTGGGGAGGATGATCCCTTAACCAACGAAGATTGTGCTGATTAGGATTGACTGGTTGATCTAGTTCAGCTTCTGGTTTAAGAACAGAAGTTGGTGTTTCCGGATGAATTGGCACTGGGTCGCCATTTCCGGAATTGTCTCCAATTGAGTGATCCGGAATATTGGAAGGCTGGCCAAGATTTCCGGTAGGCTCAGCACTGTTTGAATCCGGATTTCTCTGTGAAGTCTTCAGTGGTAGACTTCTGAATGGAATGAACTCCGTAGGCTTCATTCTATCTCCTTCATTGATTTCTTCATCCTTGTCAGATAGATCCAGAACCTCATGATCATGCTTTGATGTCTTGTCAACCACATGCTTTTCATCAAAAATAACATGTATTGACTCGTCAGTGATCATGGTTCTTTTATTGAAAACTCTGAATGCCTTGCTCACCAAGGAGTATCCAAGGAAGATGGCTTCATCTGATTTCTCATCAAAAGTGTTCAGATGATTCTTCCCGTTGTTTAACACAAAGCACTTGCTCCCAAAAATATGGAAATATGATATATTAGGCTTTCTCCCGTTCCATAGTTCATAGGGAGTTTTGTTGTGCCTTTAATAAATCATACTCCTATTTTGAGTATAGCAAGCCGTGTTAACAGCTTCAGCCCAGAAGCTCTTTGGTAAGGAAGCTTCTGCTAGCATTGTTCTCACTGCTTCCTTCAGGGTTCTGTTCCTTCTTTCCGCTACACCATTCTGTTGAGGCGTCCTTGCTGCGGATGTCTGATGAAGAATTCCGTTTTCTTCACAATAATGAATGATGATTTCATTCAGGAATTCTGTGCCTTTGTCAGATCTGATCTTCTGAATGGTCTGACTTGCTTGGTTTTGAATCAGCTTCATGCAGTTGGTGAGTTTCCCTTGAGTCTCCTTCTTGCTGTTGAGGAAGATTGTCCACGTGTATCTTGAGTAATCATCAACTACCACCAGGACATATTTCTTTCCACTTAGACTTATTGGTGTAACAGGGCCAAATA